GACATGACAGCTACTGCACACAAGGGCAGCGCACACTCAACTGCTAGCAAACGGTGACCACTGCAGACCTCCCATGAGATCACGTGTTGCATATCCGCATATACATTTGGGAACATTTCAGCCATCATGTTCTATTACCTCATATGAAAGGACAGTCCTTAACCTCTGCTCAAGGGACCTTTAAGAGACCACTGAACTGGCTGCACATTGAAACCTAGAGTTAAAAATGTGCAGTTATGTTCTCTGTGCAGTCACAGCTGATTAAACACATCTTTAATGTAGCAAAGATTAAACTACCATGGGATTACCAACAGAAACTCACAGGGATGTAAGTTAAAGCAGCGGTACGTTTCATACCCAGGAATTCTGCTTTCGATTTCCATACGGATGGATCAAGCAGCAGAACGGCAAAAAAAGAGGCGGTCTTGGGAAGAGAGAGAGCGCAAGCGTGCCACAAGAATGGACTAATTCAAGCAGACACGGCTGCCCGATCCCCACCCTCCGGTTTGGCCCCTGGTTTTGCAGCTGCTCAGAAAAGCTTTGCTCATCCTTCCAAAACATTCACTGAGATGAGGCTCTTTACATGGCCAACCACTGCAGCATTGTAGATGTATATAGGGTGTGTGGGTGTTGTTATACAACCACAGACATACAGTGTTAACAAGAGAAACAGAGACTCTGGGAGGCAGGAAATCTGTGGGTCATGTTGAACTGAGATTATTTATTTGTCATGCTAGGTTAATTTTATTTGTTTAGTTAAGATCTAACAGTGCTCACATAGGTCAACATGCCTTGAATGCTTTAGACAAAGTCATGAGAAACCAAAATATACCATTTTTGTAGAAAGTGGCAACAAAAAAATCATATTTTTTAAATAATGTATAAATGTATGTTTAGTATAGCATGTCAACTTCCCAAAAGTATTTAATGTCAAATACCCAAATACCCATTGCTGTACCAGGGTACTGGCACTGGCTCACTATACATTGGCTCAAATCTTACTAAAAGGAGTTTGTTCTGTGCACATTTCATTTAGCCAATACACATTCAATTCTTTAATATGCAGCTTATAGTGGCAGATCTGCCAATCTTAGGTGACATCTCCAGTCTGTACCTGTAACAAACAGAAATCTTAGCCTCTGATCCTGCTGTGAAAGCTCAGGCTTCTCTCCCGCTGAGAGCAGGTGGTTTCCATGACAGCTACAGGAGGTCTGGAGGGAGACCGCGTCCTCCCTTAGCCTGTCAGAATGCTGTCACTGCACTGATGTATATACCACAATAAACAAATAAGGCAGTTTAGATACTTGGCATTCAATGATGGAAAAAATGCTCATTAGACAGATTTGATCCTATTAGACAGCTGTTTGTTATTCAGAGCGACTATCTCCGTGACCCCTTGACATGTCATCTCTACAAGTCGCAAAACACGCTTCTCATGAAGCATGCTAATTAACACCCCCAGCTCATCAAAATTATTAGAATGAATCAACTGTTGGACTAGCGCCGTGGTGCTACAGTACTTTGATAGCAGCACAAGGGTTTTGAGCAGCATTATCAAATTAACATAGTTGACATTGAAGGATAAAGATGTTTTTTTCAGGGAATTTTAAAAGCAAATTTGAGCCTTTGCCACCAAGCAGTATGTGGTGCAAGATCAAACATGCTATTCCTGTGCTTTTCCATTAAACACCCAATGGATCTCCACTAAGGAGGTGTTGTGTGGTAGCTTCATTCATACGGACAGTGGGGAGATGCTGGTTAACTTATGTGCCCTTTACACACGTAGTCCATGGCTTTAACAGCTCAACCAGAAGTTTTTGAAAGGTTTCTGTGTCAAAATCCTTTATGAGGGAATATAAATCATTTATTTTTTAAATCATTATGCAAACCTTGCAGGATACGGACAAATCTTTTCAAATGATTAATGATTAAGTACTGTATATTGATTCCAAATTTACTGTAACATGACAAAAGTACTGTGACACATCAGGGTTATGCTTTGAATCTGAATATTGGGGGTGTATTAATCCACCAACAATAATTCCTCAATGTCAGTAATAAATAATAAAATTATTTTTAAAAATATAAAATAATAATAATAACAACAACAATCTAAATAAAATACTTTTTGAATATTTAGCAGTAACATTTTTAAATCAAATCAAAAGTAAAATCAAAAATAAAATAAAATTTAATTTAATTAAATACATTTTTCCTTAAAGGTGGGGTAAGCGATATTTAAAAAACGCTGTTTGAAAGTTGGTCGGACCGACACAACCAGACACAATAACAAACGTGTAGCCAATCAGCATTAGGGGGTGTATGACGATGGATGACAGAGTAGGAGCAAGAGGGAGATTTGAAAAATGACTGTTGAAAGAGAGATGGCTGAGAGAAAAGCTCATAAGACTATAACTGGGAAAAGAAGGGTTATGATCAGGAAAGAGCTTTAGGACCTGCGTTAATATTAGAAAAGCTTTCCAGCGCTGCAGAGAGTTAAGCTAGAAGGCCTGAAAACAGATGCAGAGGTTGCTTTGATTTCGCTCCATACGTGAGTAACAACTACGTGAGTATCTGTTGGCAACTAAAAACTCTTGTTTGTATTTACTCGTGTAAATTTTTTGTGCTTCCTTGTTGTTCGTTCATCATCATCACTTTATTTTTCATGAAGCATTATTTTTTGTGTTCAACACAATCTGCTTGCCTTAGCTCGATTCAAAACGGTAAGCTTGTAATAATGTTTTTAATTCCAGCGGTACTGGTGGATTTCCGTGGGAAATTCGAGCAAGTCTTTGCATCATTACGTCACATCTGTACACATAAAGAAGGAGTCTCGGGTAGTAGGCTATATTGAGTGTGAGGATTTTGTAGGTGGAGATTTATATCCTTTTCTCACAGCACTTGATACAATTAAACTTATCAATTTGATGGCGAATCCAGAAAGGTTCAAACGACAATCACCAGTGACAACTGGAGATTCACCTGTTGTAAAATGCAAAAGACTTCGGAGTGGCTACAGAAAAAAATAAGACTGTAACCGGGCCCATGCGAAAACAAGGATAAATATCGGAAGGGCATTAAATGAATTCACGCAATTCTGATGTTGAACATTAACAAATTGAGAACAAAGTATAATTTGCACAGTTTTACGTGATATGATAAGCGATTGTTAGATTTAATCAGCGCGATTTACTGCAATGATTTTTTCCCCTTAGTTGGTCAGAACCAGAACAAAAGTGGATGTTAGTTAGGGCCTACTTGTTCAGATGACATTTTCCGGTGAAAATTATTATGTTGGTCCTACTTCCAAAAAGAATAATCTGTGATTCTGAATGACAGTTTCCACACCGGCACGGTGACTGACAGCCGCACACTCTCCCAGACATCCCAACCTGCAAAAAGTCATTTCAGGGAGGTAAGTGGGATGTCTGCTCTCCTCAAACATTGGATTCATCCGCGCTGTGCCGTGTCGAGGCACAACTCACGTAAAGTTGATAATTCCGCGAATAACTGCAATTGCAGATTTCGAACAGAGATGGCGACAAAGAGGAAAAACTGCGGACTGCTGCTTTAATTGAAGATTGGTGGGTTCAGAAAACTTGTCTGAAACAAGTTTGAAAAAGAGAAAAGAGACTAGCAAAGGCAAATGTGCTCTTGAGCAACATGATTGGGTGTACTTTGTTGAAAGCATTAAAAGCTTTAGCAAGGACAGGCATTACAGAAAAAAATACTAGGGCTGTCAACGTTAACACGTTAATGCATGCGATTCATTTTTGTCCAGTTTAACGCGTTAAAATATTTAATGCAGCATCCATTAATTTTTGTCATCCTTAGGCTAGCTTTACATTATATGATGCTGCTCTTATTCTTACAAATGCTTTTAAACCATTCAAGTTTAAAGAGAATGCGCTGTGTGTGAATGACCTGTCTATGTGACACACATACACGATGCACAGAAAGACGCGCGCCAGTATCGTGCGCACAGACAGCGCGCCAGAATATAGTTCTCTTTCGCGCTTGAATGAACAATAACACACACAATTATGCCACATGTCCATTTTTTCGAGTATCCTCATTACAACAGTCAGAACAGTCTTAAATGAGTTAAATAAAGTCTTAAATCAACGTAAAGAGTTGTGAGAGAATGAGACGCGTGTGAGATCCGTGTCTCTATCAGCAGCGGCAGGTCTAGCCAATAATTATGTCTGTCAGAAAAGTTAATCAAAGAACAGAGGTAACAGAGAAAATTACTCACTGCTCTTGAGTAAATAACTTTTATAGCTTTGATAAGGATTAGTCTATATTTAATCTATAATGTATGCATTGCAGACTGTTAGATAACTTTATTCAATTTCTGTACCGGTATATTGTTCTGTATATGTTAGACAGGTAGGAATGGCACAGGTAAATATGACATTAATTAAGGTTTATGTGAGGATTGATTAAAGTTCACTTAAATTTTAAGTTATATTTTTTGAAGCATAATAAATGTTAAAAAATTGATAGCTTTCAATTACACTGTAATGTTGAATGGCTATAATTAATTGTTTAAAATGGGGGGGGGGGGGGGGGGTCATTTTCATGGAGACATAGAGCTGTATTAGTATCAGTGATACTGACCTTCATTCATAAAAAGATGCCATTAAACAAGTATTTAAAATATCCTGTCTTTATGTTGTCTCTACATTAATTTGGAGATTAACTGTGAAATTATTACATTATAAAATATATAAACTTAATATAAACCTATAAAAGCTGTGTTTTTTAATTGTGATTAATCGCGATTAACCACAGAAAAAAATTGTGATTAATCGAGTTAATTTTTTTAATCGATTGACATCACTAAAAAATACACAAGAAAACAGCTAGAACAATCTTTAAAGTGTACAGATCAGTGTCAGTTGTGGTTTATGGTGATGGAGTGCAACAGGAGAGAACACATAGTTTCAGACATCATCAGCCATTACATTATGCACTGCGTAGCTTGTGCCGGTACTCACCAAAGTCTTACATACTAATGCCTTGTTCTTCACTTCTCTCTCAAGGATCTGACACCTTTTCCTCCGATCGTTGACCTCTAACTGCTAGAAGGATGAAGAACAAGAACAAAGAGATGTGACCAATAATAACCGATTTAACAGAAAGGATTTAAATAAATATTTTATGACAGAACATTAGAAAGATGATCAGAGTATTGCCATTTAACAAAAATGAATGCATTGAAGCAGCTTCCAGATACTATAAAGGGCCTTAAAGGGATAGTTCACCCAAAAATTAAAATTCAGTCATAATTTGCTCACCCTCATGTTGTTCCAAACCTGTATGAGTTTCTTTCATCTGTTGAAAACAAAAAGATGATATGTTGAAAAATGTTGGTGACCAGACAGTTGACGGTAGCCATTGACTTGTATTGTGACATTGTATTTTTATTCCTACTATGGAAGTCAATGGCTACAGTCAGCTGTCTGTTCCTTACCGACAATCTTTAAAATATCTTCTTTTTAGTTCAACAGATGAAAGAAACTCATACAGGTTTTGAACAACATAAGGGTGAGTAAATGATGGCAGAATTTTCATTTTTGGGTGAACTAACCCTTTAATCAGGGAAGATGCCATATTTACTCTGGTACAAATGAAAAGGTAAGTACAGATGCACCATACATATATCAAATGTTGTACAATTAATGCTTTAAGTCATGTCTAATTGTTTACAATAAAAAGAGTTTGGGAAACCCATTTGAAAACAATCATTAATATGCAAGTGGTGCAAAAATGACTCGCAATTCCAGCTGTGTGTAACTTATAATGCTCATTTAAAGAGTTCCTGAACATCTAGGAATGGTCTGAAACATTTAAGACAATATTAGATGAGCTCTCCTGATGCTCAGCAGATTCATGATTAGAGAATCATAGGCTAATCCCAGTAACTTCATTCAAGGGCAGTAATACTTTAAGAATACTAGAATACTAGTAAGATAGGGCATGTTCCAGAAAGAAAGGTCTTGATGTGTGTGAGAGTGTTCGATGCTTAACGATGGGTGTTTTAAAGCAGTCATGCGTAGCATTCGGGCTCTTGAGACTGGGGCACAGAAGGAACAGCTGGGAGCTCAAACCTAGTGGTGTGGAAGTAACAACCGTTTCATGTGTGTCAACATGTTACACAGCTGAGCTTTGCTAAACTGAGGGCTTTTTCACCCAAACCAACTTCGTTATAACAAGACAATGCCTCCCATTAAATGAGATGAAGCAATAAACGCTGATCATTTATCTGAGCTATTAACACTGAATGGTAAATCCTCACGCTGCTCGACTGGCAAAATGACAGCATCACCTCTGGTAAGTCGGAGAGAGCAGTTAAAGCGCTATGCATTGCGTGCTCATGTGCGTTTTACAGTGGGGGAGGGGACTCTGTAGTTGCTATAGAAACCTACTCATCCAGGTAGCAAGTTAACCGTGAGAACGAGCAGCCTATTTGGCACTCATTCACAATTCGCTGTTAATCGAAACTCACAGGGTGAAGCAAACTCCCTTCACTTGGAAAACAGTCCAAGACTGTGCAAATACAAAATGGATAATGTGTAACAGGAAACCCTGAAAGGAATCACCATGACATGGTACATCTCACCAGGGAGGAAGTGCATCTCTATGGGAAGGAAATCTCGGGTTTCACCTTTCCATCTGCCCTATCATTAAAAGATACCATTATGCCTCCATTACCCACATCAATGGCTTTATCAATTTGTATATGTCTGACGTCTTATACGTTTAAATGGAAATTTTGTAGTCGACTAGTCTAAGAAGACTAGTGAAAAAACGATCTGTATAAGCGATACAATTGAAATAGCCTAGTTAATCTATTAATCAAACAAATCAAATCCCATATTGAATGCTGCTAAAAAAAATTTTTTTTAAATCAATCATATACAAAGTGCTAGCCTTGCATTATGATCACTGTACTTAAGCATTCATTTAATCAACGTTACCCAATAGACATACAGTATACAGTTTAATTCAAAATGTTTCCCCTTTAAACCAGTATCAAATTTCATACCGGTATTGTCCCTCATTACTGGCAGTATAACAAACCTATATGCAAGCTTAATTGTTGACATATGACAATGACAATTTGACATTCTACACAAAACCTTTTTAATTTTCTTCCAAGTCAAAATACTCTTTAACCTTGCTTTAGAGAAAACTAAAGCAGCAAATTCTGAGGTAAAATAAAATTTTGTTTTCAACTCCAGATATACACTTTAAAACGCAACATTAACATGATGGTAATTTGAATATAGCCTTTGTAAAAATATAAAGCAAAACATAAATGTGCAACAAAAACAAAAATGTCGACTAGAAGCAGCAGTATCGTTTAGTCGACTACTTGACTCGAAGGTTAAAGGTAAGAAATGAAAGAAACATCAATCTCAGAGAGCTCAGTGTCAAATGCCGCAGAAAGACTTAATCGTTGCATTCTAGTCTTTCTCATGACACTTACATATGCAGTGATGGAAGCTTCCAACTTTGAACCCCAGAGATATATGCATGGGGTGTGATAATGATGCTACAGTGCTCAGGATGTCAACATGGTGATTGATTTATTCTTGGCTCAGCATCTTGCTGTCCCGAGACTCTTGGTGCCAAGAAGCCTCTGAATTGGTTATCAGTGAATCTGTGTTTTTAGCTTGCTAAGGCTTTGAACAAACCTTTAAAGGGATAGTTCATTCTATTTTGTGAAGAAGAAAAAATTGCCCATATGTTAAAAGTCAGTTGGGTTCAATGTAGTTTTGGACCCCATTGACTTTCATTGTATGGACAAAAACAGTAGATACTAAATATCTAATGATAAACACATTACAGATGTATGATCTGTAGTTGAATATGACATGTAAATATCTTGAGCTTGTGTTAACCACAGATCTTATTTCAGGCATTTACAAAACAACCCATTCTAAAAAACACTGACTTCAGAACGATGGAATCAGAAGAGCAAAAATGCTAACTAGTTTCTAGGTTTTATGACTCTTTCATGTATTATTATTTACTGGCGCGCGTCTTAACTGTCGATACTGGCGCGCGTCTTTCTGTGCATCGTGTATGTGTGTCACATAGACAGGTCATTCACACGCAGCGCATTCTCTTTAAACTTGAATGGTTTAAAAGCATTTGTAAGAATCAGAGCAGCATCATATAATGTAAAGCTAGCCTAAGGATGACAAAAATTAAGACCCCCTATGGTGAAAACGTCTCAGGTTACGACTGTGAACGAGATGCTGCGTCGAGACACTGTGGGAACGCCCCTGCGTGATTGCGTCACGAAGCACGTGTATAATCAGTCCAACGGAGAGACGAGACGTCATAGGCGGGTGACGTCATCGACCAGGAAACTTTAAAAGCACACCTGACAACAGACCACGCTAGCTTCTGATAGGCCGAAGCAAGTCGATCACAGGCATGCAGGGAGTATGGCAGGGCGACGCAGCCTCTCGTTCCCTCTCAGGGAACCAGGGTTACAGTCGTAACCTGAGACGTTCCCTTTCAAGGGAACTTGAGCTGCATCGAGACGCTGTAAGAACACTATACCCACGACGCCATAATAGCAAATGCCTGTTCTGTGTGAAGTCATTGCGCACACTAAGAAGCAAGCACCCTAGACCCCGGAGTGGAGCCTAGATCCAAGTCATAGCCTTTGAGGCAGCTATACTCCTAGTATATTGGTCAGACGCCTCACAGTGCCGCGAAGGAAACGTACTACAGGGTGTCTCCCCAAGGATACACCACTTAAAGGGACGTGGTAAGCAGCTAAGGCTGCCATGTACACCTTTAGGAATGTAGGAACTCCAGCACTTCAACCACAGGGCAGTTAACTGGGTCCAGCTGGTGCTCTCCACACCAGGAATGAACACTTTCCACTTCAAGGTGTAGAGTTTCCTCGTGGATGGAGCTCTGGAGTGGAGGATGGTCTCAACAACCTCATTTGATAGACCTGAACTTATGAGCTGGGCCCCCTCAGAGGCCAAGCCCAAAGTTTCCACAATTCTGGGCCGGGGGAAGGATCAACCCGCTCGACTGAGAGAAAAATTCCCTCCCGAGCAGAATCTCCAGAGGAGAGCCGTCGAGGAGATACTCTAGGTCCGAAAACCATACTCGGGCCTGCCAACGCGGGGCTAATAACAGAAGATGGGCCCCGTTCCGGTGAACTCTCTCCAGAACTCCCTGGAGCAGAGAGATCGGGGGAAATGCCCCAGAGGAGCTGGCTGACTGAGTGAGAACCACAATGGACAGTGTGTGTTCTCTAAGATGCGAAAAGGTCTACTTCTGCTTGACCAAAGTTTTTCATAGGAGCTCCACCACCTCGGGGTGGAGTCTCCATTCCCCAGGCCTCGGCCCCTGCCTCAACAGGATGTCTGCTCCTGGATTATGTAAGAGACCACCGATGTGTTGTCTGTGCAGACAAGCACATGGTGACCTCTGAGGTCTGGCAGGAAGTGCTTGAGATCAAAACACCGCCATAATTTCTCGCTGATTTATGTGCCAAGAAAGTAGATGGTCCTGCCAAAGATCTTTCGCCGAGCGACCACTCATGATCGCCCCCCAACCTGTGAGGGAAGCATCCGTCGATAGCGTACGCGTCGACAAGAAGCCCCCAGCACTGGGCCCTGGGCGAGGAACCAAGGTTTGTTCCACAAGACTAAGGCACGTAGGCATCGCCGCGTGACCTTGATCATGCGAAACGGATTTCCCCTCTGAGAAAACCCCACGGTCCTGAGCCACCACTGCAGGGGTCTCATGTACAGGAGGCCAAAAGTTATTACGTTGGACCATAGACTGTAAAAAAAGATGGACGACGCCCCTTTGCTCTCTTCCATTGGTCAGAAGTGAAGCCGCCAGTATCCCGATATGGCGCTGGCATCTTGGAACTTGAGTTTTCGCAGTAGTGATTTCGGGACCAGACATGCGCAGTAGTGAGCAGGAAGTAAAGCCGCGAAATCAAGGCCCCGCCCTCACTCTCGCAAAAATCAATCGCAAGCACACGCTCCTGCTCTTTTTTAAATTAATTATAGAAATTAATAGATAATTAATAGAA